ATCTTACTAAGAAAGAACAATCCAATATTTAGATTTTGGGTATCCTTTTGTTGAACGGTCTGTTTGAAATGAATCGAAGCATCAGACTAAAAAAGCTTTTGAAAATAACCGAATATTTCGATTAAGGTCAAAATATAATATTTGTAAATCTGACTCAGTGCCTCACCAGCCATGAACCTCACCGCACGTCACTGGAGTGCACCATTATGGCCAAAATGATAATCACGATTATTTATTATTATTATTATAACAACATTAACATGACAAGTAGTTATCATGATTTTTCATTGATTTAGCAACAATATATTGTTGTATTGCACCTTCACATTTAAATAAACAAAGCATGGCTTGCACTTCTGTGGTGAGCTACAGTCCTGCTCATTTAGGGTTGCACAATATAGTTGAAAGAAAAACACTGCAGTGTGAACACTTGAATGTATTTAGCTGGGTTTGAGATTTGCCTAAAGTGCTTCTGCCTTGGCATCCCAGTCAAAGTATGAGGACCGGAGACGAGAGCCATTTAACCATTCATTTCCTTCACAAGAGTTTGTTGACTGCCACAGATAAAGATGATTTTAAGGAGAGAATATAAACACAAAAATAACAATCAGGAAAAACAAAACACTAAGGATCAATCAAATCAAATGTTGCTTTTACATAGTAAGCATAGACAAAGCCATCAATAACTATAAGACATATTGACGACTGACGACTTACTCAAAGAAGTATTACACGTTCAAATTAGCAACTTCCATTAGTACACAGGTACAAATGGAATTTAGTTTGATGTTTATTAAAGCCGTTTTACAATGGCTGTTAGCTTGTAGCTGTAGCATCTGCCACGTCGTGTAAGAACAGGTTTACCCTCCCTCTGGTCACCTATGAACATGTTTATACACCCTGTGCAGCTAATGCCTGCCACCAAGTTTTCAAAATGATATTGCATGATAAATATAAACTAAATCGAATGACATGAGAACAAATAACATAAATGGCTCCTAAACTCTGTGTGACCTGACTGCAAGACTTTCTATCCCCTTTGGGAGAATAGTTCCTGTTATTACAATTGATCTGTTTTTGTATAAGTTTTGATGTTCTACCTGTTCACAGCTGCCACTCCAAAGCCATCTGTCAGGACTCTCACAGCCACCGCAGACTGGTCTTATCTGCAGTGTGAGGTTCCTGGTGCTTCTCTAAACACTAAAGCAGAGTGGCAAAACAGCGATGGAAACATCCTGGAAGCTGAGGAGGAACGAGTCCCAGAGGAAGACCACGTCTTCATCTCTCTCTACACTAAGGTGACCAGGACAGACCTCTACAAGTGTGTGGTCTCTCAGGAGGACATCAAGCATCGGGTCTCTGCTCAGACCTTTGTGTTCATCTGTGGTGAGATGAGTTTATATATGAAGTGATTTCAAATGTTGATGTGTAATTTAGCTTTAGAAGATGTAGATGCCTTGAGTGATGTTGTTCTGTCAGTGTCCTGAACATGTCGAGTAACTTATATATTTTGTATGATGTTTTTCAGAGAGCAAGTGTGAGGACTCATACAGCACAGGGGCCATGGTTATTGCTGGCATAGTTTCATTTGTTTCGGGAGCTTTAATTCTTATTGCAGTTCAGAAGGTATTGCTTGTACATGGGAAGCCATAATACCATACGACTGAATGCGGGATTAATTTACAGCAGTGAAAATACTTGAATGAAAAGTGAATATAGTATAAATAAAAGTATCAGTCAGACTGCTGATGAGAGTCTGATGGTCCTCAGGGTTCATCTGTCAATCACACATTCATTCCTGCTGAAGAACATTCAGTCAATAACTAACACACAATACCAACATGGACATGTTTGGTTTGGGTTAACAATAATATTTCTGCATTGTATAAAAGTTGATTTATTTAAAATATATGTTTTTATTTTCTCTGCCGCAGGTATTCCTCTGCAGGAAAGAGATGAGATCTACGTCGAAAAAAGTTCAGTTAGCCAGACAAACGGCTCTGTTATAGATCCTTCAGAGGAGCCACTGAGGTCAGACGAAAAGTGTTAGCGTTTTGCAAATGATCTTGTTTTGTAATTCTGAATTTGGTAATTGAATTACTGCCTTGTGAATGTGTTGAATCTACTTAAACATTATTTCACTGTACATCATGTCTTGACTCACACATTTTATTATGAAAAAAAAGCCAAAGATTCATTTACATTACATGTATATCGCTCTCCAGCCTCGCCCCGTGTGTATTATTGAGGTTTAGTTTTAAAAGTTTCAGCTGAAACCCTTTGCCTTTTAATATTCTCACTTTGTCAAACACTGTGTAAAGTTTGAACTGGAAGTTTTTTAAATGTAGGCTGAAAGAGATAAATGGGTTCAAGTGTTATAACTGGGGTTACATACTGTAACCCAGTTTCTATGAGTATAGTCGCAGCCCTCTAAGGCTATCGCTATTGGGTAATCCCACTGCACATGTGCAGCACTGACAGACTTAATCCACGCCCACCTATGACGTGGGCCCCACCTACGGCCTCACTTCCGTATAAATAGGAAGTAGGCCCGACCATCTGCTCCCACGCAAACAGCTTTTCTTCAGCTATTCAGGGAGCCTGTGGGGCCCGAACCTTAGAGGGCTGCGCCTATACTCATAGAAGCTGGGTTACAGTACGTAACCCCAGTTCTACATCGTATATGGCTTCGCCCTCTAAGGCTATCGCTATTGGGTTAAGGGCGAAGCAGGATGTAGTCCACGCCCCACTGGTCCGTCCGTTACCAGAAGTACAAAAACACATCTACTCAATTAATAACCCATGTCCATTGCGCCATGCGTAATGGAGCATCACAGTCCCTGGAAATGTAGCATTTAAAATGAATATTCTCCATGAGGGAATGAAGGTGAATACCTGTCGTTATAAAAAGTAGAGACCAAAGTCCCACTTGTTACAACGAAAAAAGAGGGGAAAAGGGCAGCTCTTTGAGTGCCGACAGGCAGGAGAGAGGGCACACAGTTGAGTCCCCGACATTACTCACTCTGACAGGACATTCAGTACTGAGTGTGTCAGAGAGGAATGGAAGACATTCCTCAAATAAAAACGAATAAAAGAACAGGGGGAAGACCAAGATGCAACAGTGCAAATGTCTTCCACTGTCTTCCAATTGTGCAAATAAACTTTTCTAAGCTTTTTTGTTCGTTTCACTTTTATTGGTTCAAGCTAATTTTTCTTTGTACAAATGATATGCTTTGAAAAGGTGATCCAGACAGAATCAGATGTTTCCATCAAGCCACTTTTAGTGACATCTCTAACTCGTTATCTTTTCATTGACTTGTTGTGATGACTTGTTTGGCTTCTGTTGATGTTGTGAGACTCGTGTTTAACCAATATAAAATGAAAAGCTTTCTACATATTGTGGTGGAAATTCTTGAAATAAACTAGTCAAAGAGTTGTCCTTCTGAGTCTTTAATCATGTTTTGCAAAAGAGGCGCACCGCATACAGAGAGCAATGTCTCCACAGCCGAGTGCAACTACTCAGACTGAAGAGAGGGCTTTCATACAGTTACAATGAATACGCTTATTCATGAGATGACTGACCCCTGACCCTATCAAAGTGCAATAGAGCCATGATCACTGGTCATCCCCTGTGTGGTCACATGACTGATCATTTACCTGAGTGATGAGACACAGAATGTTATTATTTATATGTTATATATAACGTCATATTATTCAATTCTCTGATAATCATAAATTCAATTACAATATAAAATAGGCCTTGACAACAGTCCAACAAATCCAAACAATGATGCAAAACTCAAATAAAAGAATAAACAATTTCTTTCTTTAACTTTGCATTATATAACTTTAACGGTTATAATCTCTGTCTTGACTGTCTCTTAAAAGGCAGGTGCCGTAGGAAATGTAGTCTTTTAAAGTCTATTGACTACAGAACTCACCATTACGGTCCGTCCACACAGCAGCGTTAAAAAAATCTTGGAGGTGGGCGTATCTGAAGCTTGGGGATTTTTTGCGAGCAAGGCACCAACAACCAATCACATGAATCTCCCGCCCCCGACATACGAAGCAAAAAAGTTTGAAGTAAACTGGATATAAACTCCCCAAACAGGCGAAAACCTACCACTGTCTCTGCCACCTCCCTCCATGCCTGGCTCCTCCGGTTTGTATCCCGGTAGGTAAATAGGGACTGGTCATAAAGCACCGGGTGATTCCCTACCGCTAATTTCTCCTCCATTTTTTGGAATATGAGGAAATGACCTGCGGTATGTCTCTCCCAGCATACACGCCGTTTGATTGGCTAGCGCTTGAACTGTCAGATTTGCATACACGGGATTTGATTGGCTGACGCTTCCACCTCAGCTTCAAAAGTTGAACATTGCTCAACTTTGAATCCTGAAAATCCTGAAAATCTCCGCTCGCCTGCCCACAATGCAGTTCGGCGAAAAGTGAGGCAAAGTGACGTCACCCCATTCAAAGTGAATGGGCAGAAGCGTTTCAAGATTTTTTAACGCTGCTGTGTGGACGGTCCGTTAGGGGTGACAGTATTTTCCCTTTTTCTACTAAAACAAAAGCCTGGCTGTAGCATTAGTCATTTCATAAAGTTGTGGCATCCCAGTGTAAATCACTTTTGTATTAATACAAAAAGAAATACACAAATTCAAATTCAAAGGAGCTTTATTGGCATCACCATATCAAACAACTTCTTCAGAATCAAGATGAAATAAGAGTTTGAGAAATAAATAAAAACTCAGTTATGCAAAAAAAGAATGTGACGACGTGATTCATCAACAACATTAAAATAAATAAACAACAATAAAAGAAAAATTAAGAAAAACCAGTGTTCCTGAACGCAGCACACAGAACGAGATTTGATCACGTGAACACAGAGGTTCCACGATATTTAAAGAGGAGGAGCACAGGGTATATTTCACACACACAGCCGGAGCAGGAGCACTGACCGCGGAGTGGAGGAGGACAGCAAGATCCCCGGAGAACCAGCAGCAGCCTCGGACTCTCAGGTGAGTGTTCAACGCTTCATCCGGGGAAAAATGACTTTAAAACTAAACTAAAAACACGAGGAGAGGAAACAGGAAATACGAGAAGCGTTTTATTTTGAAAGTCAAAGAAACGTTCCTCTGTTTGCTTCGGGTCTACTGGTCTGAATTGTGAGCATTATTTATTTAAAGTTAAATGTGAAACCTTCTTTTAAAATAATGATAGTAATTGTGCATTGTGAACACGTGCTTGTGTAGTATATTTGAAATTTAAGTCACGTGTGTACAACGAAAAAGACACAGCTAAATTCAACCAAAACAAGGTAAACATTTAACTTTATATAATATTTATATATAAAGTGTTATCAAAGCTGGTAAAGGTGCAGCTAGTTTGAATGACTTTGTATACTGCAGGCTACCCAGATAGCAAAAAGTCATTGAATCAACATTGAGATATGGTCACGCTGAAGATTGAAATCAACATTGAAGTCAGACATTGAAAAAACAGTGAATGTGCTCGCTTTGATTAGCATTGAAAGAACATTGAATTTTCAATCAATCCCAACAATGAATCAACCTTGATTTAATTACGATATGATAAACATTGAAAGAATGTAGAATTGCAACAACATTGATTCAACTATATTATGAGTTGCATTATACATTGAAACAATGTTATTATCAGATAGCAAAAAGTCTTTGAATCAACATTGAGACATTGTCACGCTGAAGATTTCAATCAACATCAATGTCAGACATTGAAAATGAACTAAAATGAACAAACAAAAAAAGAGCCATTATTTATTCAGTTAATTATTACGATTTAATTCAATTATATGAACATTTTGTACATCTTTTGTCCACTTTAGCACACAAAACATTCACACAAAACATTCTCTCTTTTAAAGGTCCCATGTCATGCTTTTCCGGTTATTACCCGTCCCCTTGTGTGTTATGTAGCGTTTTCTGCATGTAAACGGTCTGCAGAGTCACAAACCCTCAAAGTACACCCTGTAGCGAGTAAAACTCAGATAAGACCTGTCTATGCTGCCCCAGAACGCCTCGTTGGAGATTTCTCATTTTCCATTGTTTACTTCCCGAGTACAGTGATGTAACGGATTTCCACACACACACACACACACACACACACACACCTGGCTGTGAGTGTGTGTGCTCAGGATGAGTTCCTCTGTGTCTCGCAGACCCCATGCCATCATCATTTTCTGTTTAAAGCAGCTTTGATAGATGTTGATAACATGCATTCTTCACATGTTGAAGATATGGATTTGAAAAAATGCACGTTTTGCAACATAACACAAGTTAAGGACATTTCTTGACATAATAAACATCTAGCAAAGCTGCTTTAAACAGAAAATGATGATGGCCTTTGAACACAGATTCTGAGGATGGTTTCTGCTTCTGCTTTTATCCATCAGGTCAAAATAGGATTCACACACCTGACATCACTGTGATAAATCAGGCCTCAGCCTCTTCAGCACATCACAATCAAAGAATTTAAGAATAAGAGCAGGTTTTACATGAGCACTAACCACAATTGTGTAGCTCTTGTATCCTCTCTTGCACTTTATATGTCGTAGCTGCTATATTGCATTACCATGTCATAAATACTCGTGTATGCTGCTCTTGCTCTTTTGCACTTTTTGCATATCATGTATTTTGTTTTTGCTATGTTTGTAAAATGTAATTTTCTTAAATATTTTATGTGAGGAACTGCGGATGGAAATTAGCTCAAAGCTAAATCCGGCACTGTTACGCTTGATACATTTAAATGTTTTAAGTGTTCATTACCGTGCATTGTCCCTGCCAAATAAACGATTAAATGAAATGCACTAGAACAGGCGAAACATAGGTTAAAGTCATGTCTGTCTTCCCCATTAACATTCACAGCAAAAGCTTTGTTTTCCGAGACCTTATGCGCTGCGAGCATCGAGAGCCAAGCTCGTAAAAGATAGTCTAAATGGCTTCAAAGGTATACCTCATCTCCTTTGGATAATCAATGTTCATTGCATAAAGTAGGTCAAAGAGGTATGCAAAGGCAGTAGAGAGGTCTGGTAGGTCATGCAGTACAATGGTCCCTGTAATGGCAATTTCCATGTTCCAATGTCCTATATATTTGCCATTACTTTCACAGGAGGTTTTTAGAGTGATCCGGACGCAGACACGAACAGATGTATTTCCGGTCTTTTGCTGCAGTTTAGAATGATGGTTTATTTTGCATTTTCATACCAAGGGTTTATTACACTGTGTCAATGATTGTGGTATAAGCATCTGCTGGGCTGGTGCCGTTCTGTTCTTGCTGGTGGAATCGGTATGCTCTTCCTCCTGTGTCCACGTCATTTCCTGTCACCTGTGACTGCTTTTATACACCCGGTGCAGCTAAACCCCGCCACCAAGTGTTCAAAATAGTATTGTAGTATAAATATAAATAAAGTAAACTGACATAACAACACCCCTAAATGGCTCCTACACACCGGCCCCTAATTGGCTTTAGTATGAAAACAAAAACAATTGCCAATAAATAATAAAGGAGCTATGTAAAATACAAATGGTGTGTTCTATGTGTTGGTATTTAATTATTAATACTTTTTTTCAGTTTATTTTCTTTTCCCTTATTTTAAGGGTCATCAGTCTTTGCTGTCCTTTTATTTTGAGTCCTTCGGCCTTGTAGAGCACGTTGGTCCACTTGATCTTGTTCTCCATTTCTTTGGCCTTGTCCTTTTCCCTCAGCTCGCTCACTTTTGTTTTTTGAGGCTGGACGCGGCCAAGCAGCTGCTTGTAGTTTTCCCGAGCAGGGGAGTTATCTGGCCCTTCACGCTCTGCTTCTTCTTCTGTATATTGTCCACGTACTCCTCCTCCACCGTCTCCACCTTGTTGAAGACGAGTGCCGTTACATCTCTTTTGTTCGCAGCGGGGGCAGGTTCTTTCTTGATCTCCACTGCTGCTTCTTGGCTATTCTCTTCAGCCAGTTTCTTCTTCAGGATGAACTCTTTCCTCTTCCTCTTCTTGCGCTCCCGTTCTATCTTTCGTTTTGCTCGCTTTGCCAACACGGCCTCAGAGAGTGCGTTCTTCGGGGTTCCCTGTCCTCTGGACTCCTCGATTTTGAATTGTTTGTCTTCTCTGGACATTTCCTCTGTTTCCTTGCTTGTATTTTCATTGAAATCATGATTGTATTGTTTGACCAATAGCTTCTCTAGGTGTACAATGGATATCCGATTGACAGCAGCAGCAGGGTGGCCATTAGCATCTCTGCTGTCGTTGCTTCCTTTTAGGAGACCATATATGACCCACCCCAGTAGGGTCTTTACAGCGTACGGTCCTTCTCCTTGGCTATTGATCAGCTCCCAAGGTTCCAATACCTTAGGAGAATTTGTCCCAATGAGTAGGTCAATGCCAGAAGCAATTTCATTAATTTTGATGTCCTTTAAGTAAGGCCATTTTTCCACATCTTCTTGTAGAGGAATATTGTGCTTGGAAACAGGCATGGTCTTATGTGTGAAGACATCGGATAGTTGAAGGAAATTGTTTTCGTCCAGACTCGATATTTCCAAACCTGAGATATGACGACTAGACACAATTGTCTCCTGATTCATTGTCTTTAGGAGAATGTTAGTCCTTTGTCCTGTATAGGGTTGGGTACCGAGAACCGGTTCCAACATTTCGATTCCAACGGCATCATTTAGGAATGTGAATTTCGGTTCCGCTTTTCAATGCCTGAGGAAATGTTTCTCGCCGCTCTCCGTAGCCTACTGCGGCGGGGCGGGAAATGTAGTGTTGTACCTACACTTCCTACAGCGTAACCTGGGACCAGGGCCGGCCCGTCGCACTGGCGTTATAGATGTTCGCCTAGGGCGCCAGTTCTGGGGAGGCGCTGCGCTGACAGCTCTGGGAGGGACAACAACATTTTTGACCGTTGGTGCTCATACTAATTTTCGGCCTTGATGTAACAACATTCATAATTAAGTAAATGTAACACCCTTTTCATCCCGGTTACACTTTTCATTTGCCCTGTACGATGGGCGCTGTAAGTGATGAAAATGGGGGATGTTGGCTTATCTGGCACCCGCCGCTCACAGCCAAAGTGAGAGCGTGGGAGCGAGCGAGGGAGAGCGAGAAGAGCGCACCGGTACCGGCGCTGTTGTTATTAGAATCTGGTGCTAGCTGCTCTAATGGATATAAGAAGAAGATGTTTCTACAATGATGTGGAGGAGAGCTCTCCTGTCAGACTGAGAGGCTGATAACTACAGCTCAGTGAGGTAAAGGACTCTGAGGGTTTAGATAGTTCACTTTAGTCTAAGTTATCTCCGTGGGTCTCAAACGTTTTGATCACAATTTATGTAAACACATATTTCCAAGGCACTCCTTTATAATTATTGGGTTAAAACAGGTTTGAAATCATTCCAATGTATACTATAGGACAGTAAACCAGACATATCGTTTAAAACTGGAGAGATAAAAAAATATGCATAAATAAAAAAGTAAAATAAGATATGAATGAACAACAAAAATAAAATACGTTACATTTATTTGTTATTGGCTATGGGTTATTGGTTATGTTCACATACTTATTTGATTATTGAAATGTAAACCGATCTTTTTCATATGGGTGTTTAGAGTTGTACCCCCTAGATCTAGTCTCTAGTAATTCTGCTTAAAGTGCACCAGATGGGGGGGGGGGGTTTCCTTTAAAAGTTGCACTGTTGTAGCTTCAGTGGTTCTCAAGTTACAGTTACATAGCAGTGAATATAAACAGACTGATTAATGTGAATATTACTGTAAACTAACCTGTGTAAAGGTTTCTCGAATAAATGTAATTTTTTTTGGTGGAAGAAGCATGTATCATTTTTTTACCCTGCCCCTCAAAGAATCGGAATTGAGAACCGGAATCGAAAAGTAGAATCAGAATCGTGGAAATTCAAACGATACCCAACCCTAGTCCTGTAAGGTTTAGCCTCCTCATTAAACTTTCTGTGCAAAAGGTAGATGAACTTCCATGGTCCAGAAAT